CGTAATTATATTTTCGTTTTTTCGCGGCGCCAACTTGTGCAACAAGTCCCTTTGGGCGGGAAAACAAAAAAAAATACCGATTGGTACCAATCGGTTAAGTAATTTTAAAACTGAAATCAAACCCATTATTGGGCTTTAAACGTGAGTTTCAGAAAAGCCTACCAAAAAATGTGTTAAACCCAAGAAGATAAGAGAATAATCAACCACATGAATGAATCCCATGAAATTAAACCGGAAATAGATTTTGCACATTGCCGGCGGCGAGAGTCTCCTAGAAGAAGTGGTGGCTCCGGCGATTAATAAATAAACTCGACTATATAGATTACATTTTAGTAGCTTCTTTGTTCTTCGTTGTTTGTTTTTCTATTTTATAATTCACGTGATGCGGAGAACTCGACTAATTCTGAGATGAGTTTTTTTTATATATAAGATGTTAAATTTTACACCATTTTTTATTTGATATAGCAGTTACATAGACAACATAAAAATCGTAAAGAACGAAAACTACTTACGAAGGCAATTATAACAGAAAAAGGGACAAATATCGAGTAAGTTAAACATACGAGTTAGCAAACCAAAAGGATGTGTTCGTTTATTGGATACAAATATACCATGTAAAACATCTAAATCGAAATTTGTTTTCCGGTAGTAGTTAGACCGGAAGGAGAACAACTTTACACCATGCCCTTCGTATAATCACCTTATTAGCCGTTGTTGTTAACTTGACTCGGTCTTTTAGTTTCAACATTGGTACGTGAGTTCATATGTTTTATGATATGTTATGTGAACAAAATGATGCAGAATCTTCCTTTTCCACTAAAAAAATCTATGTGGAAATAGAGTTGTTTGCAGGTCTTTGTTGTCAAAGAAATTTTATTGCAACTTGTAGTTAAGTTTCGCAGAAATGTCAACGTGTATGTGAACATGTAAGGAGAGCCTATCACATTCTATATGATGGTTAGGATTATCAGAAGAAATAATTATAGTTTTTTTTTTTCGAAACTTAGAAATAATTATAGTTATTATGGATGATTTACAATTTAATAAACACTTGATATATAAACCAATACTGCTTCCAAGTCCACTTTAATTAAATACGTTCTTTATCAATCATAAAACGTAGTCCTACACTCCTACTTCGCTAGGCGACATCACAACCA